TGGTGCATATTTTTGTCAAAAATTAAAACGATTTTGTTATTTAGCGATTTTTAAAACTTAAAAAAAAATATTGAAACTATAATATTTAATGGTCGTAATTTTTAATAAATAATTTTGATTTATTTATCTTGAAAATATTATCTATAATTAATAAATAAGAAAAGAAAAGAAAAGAAAAGTAAAATGATTGGGTTTTGTCTTTTGTCTTCTCATAAAAAGCAGAATTAAGAAGTGTCGTCACCATGTGTCATTATTCGTAATCTGTAGTTATTGGAATGTATATGAATGTTTAGACGTTTGCTAAATCGAATCTTTTTGAATTTCCAACGTCTCTATATATGTTGCCAATAAACCCAAGAAACCTACTTTGGATTTTTCAATAATTATTCTTCTCTTCTTTGAGTTCATCCTTATCATATAATCTTCTTTTATAAATAATTAAATAGTAATATAATATCTCATATTTCTAAGAATAATAATATACCTGCCACGTTTGGTTGAAAAAATCATCTTTAAACACATGTGATTTGTAAAATTTAAAATTATACTAATATGATAAGAATATTAAAAATAATGAGAATTAATTATTATATTGATTTGTGTAATAAAATTTTAAACTATTTATATTTTTAAACAGAAAGAGTAAGAATAATTTTGAATAAGAAAATATTAAAATGGTAAAGATATTAATAAAAAAATTAACAACTTTATAAAAAATAATAATTATTTTAATACGTATAACCAACCTTAAACATTGTATATTTTGCAATGAAGGATGAAACTTATGACATTTACATAATTTTCAACAAGAGGAATAGATTGTAATTTTATTAAGACGTTGAAATAAATTATTTTAAAAATATTTATAAAATTTAAGAAAAATAGAAAATTATAAACTAAATTAGCTTGTATTAAAAAAATTTCCGGATAATCACAAAACATGTAAATATATATATAAAGTATCTTTTATATAATTTGAGAAAGATATTTTATGATATCTAAAACGAGTTTTTAGTGAAAAATGTTTTTATTATGAGTTATTTAAAATTTGATCAAAATTATTTATATAAATAATTTTTTTATAATTTTAAGTAATTTTTTTTATAATAAACAACTTACATAATAAAATATTTATTTTTATTCATAGATAACTCGTATTAAACATGTGAATGCTCTTACCAAATATCGAAGGATCACAATAACTCATGAAAAGCATATAATCCATGTTCACAAGAAAAAGACATCACCTAAGTGATTAAGGACATGCAATGATTAAAGGCAAACATAAAAGAAACGCCATATCCAATTCTAATAATTCCTCTCTCTCTCATCTTTACCATTTTGACTTCATATTTTTTTGAAATGACAAAAAGAGGAACAAAAGATAAGAAAAATATTCTTTCCTTTGTTTCATTATTTTAAAAGTGGAGTGAGAAAATATAAAACTTAGTGAAATCATATATTTAGTGTTTCTTTCGAGATGAAAAGAAAGGGAAGAGATAAAGTTTACCTTATAATAAAATGACAAAAATAATATTCTTTTACATATTTTTTTTAATAGGGATATGTATGCCATTTTAAAATTATTTGTTTATTAATGTAAAAATAACTTACAAAATAATTTTATTTTTTATATCTTTTCTACATTTTTTTCTTAAACCAAACATAACAATTAAAATAAAATAAAATATTCCAAGTATCAATTTGTTTTTTTTTTCCTACACGAATTCTTCTAACCCTATTAAACTAAAGATTAATCTAGTTTATGAGACTTATATGTAGAATTGAATACATATCAATTTGACTATTTTTGTTATTCTAAACCATATTAATTACAATTAAATACAATCCTTTATATATATTGTTTATAATTGAATCAATATAAAATAAAAAATTGATTAAAAAAACCAAAAGTTAATTATTTTAGATTTGAAAATTTTAAAAATCGATTGGTTGAATTTAATTTTTTTTGACAAACCAAATACAGTCAAAATTATAATATATATTCTTAAAATTAAATCATAAAATAACTAGTTTTATAAGTGAGCAAAATATTTTATTATAATTTAGAATATTTATTATTATTGTTTAAATTAAATATAGAAATATATAAAAAAATGAAAAACTCTAAATATGAAATCATATTTTTATAATATATTTTTTATTAAAAATTATTTTATTATAATATACTTAACAATTTCATAATAAAGAAAATATAAAAATTATCCAAATCAATAAGTAAAATATTAGTTTGATTTTTAATTTAAAGTTTTTATAAATAAAAATTATATGAAATTGAGTCACCCTTAAATTTGTAAATTTTATAGTTAATACAAAAACGAATCAACCAATATATATATATATATATATATCATCTACAAATTGTCATGGTGATGGTTTCTCACATGATATAACACTTTTTTATGATTTAAAACACTTGTTGAAGAGGTTTTTGGAGTGATGCAAGAGAGGGATATGTAGTTGAAGTATCATAAATACCTTCACGCTTATCTATATCTTGTTATTTGGTATACACCTAGGGACAATACACAAACCTAACTTCACACTCAAATAGTCAACGCTTTAACCTACAAAAAACTATCTCTCCCTCTCAATCCTCAATTAATTAATAATCCACCATTAAAATAGTTTATTAAAGAGTCGTATAATAGGCGTGCATTGTTGCACATTGCATGCCAACGTATCTATCTTTCCACGCTTCATCAATCGCATGAATACCCCTTACTACTTACAAACTCAATCACAACATAATAATATTACAAACCCTTTTCTATTACCGCATGTTAGGGATGAAAGTCTTAATTAATTTGACACTCTTATGTTAGCTTTTTGTCTTTTTTTGTGTGTCTCAATTTATTTACCTGTTTTTCTTGGACATTTGAAAGAAATAAATGTGTTACGTTTAACAATTAAGAAAGCGTGGCATTTATCTCAATTTATAGAAGTGTATAATTAGTTTGAATTTCTTAGTATGTTTTTGCGTAATCATGCAGTATTGTTAAATTATCAAAGTGGATTAACTTTTATTATAGTTACCAAAAAGAAATTTTTTCTTTTGTAAACACATCAAAAGAAGAGATGTATTAACTTTTTAACATACTTTTAATTTATTCATTAAAATGTCAATATTTACTTTAAAAGATATCTTTTTATAGACAACTAAACTACTTTTTTTTAGAGAAAAACAAACAAGCCACTAAAAGAAAAAGGAAAAGAAATTACACCAAATATCGTTTAGAAGTAATGCTTCATTTTGAAATTAAAATTAAAACACTAAAAACTTTTAATTAATTCTCTTTACTTTACGGCGCTTGATAGAAAAACTGAACATCACAGTGACGAGACGAATCATACTCCAAACGTATTTCAGTTGTTGGAGGTAATTGTCAAACGTTAATGAGAGAAATGTTATAAATTAAAAGTTTGAATGTCATCGTCGTACATGCATCCACTAGTATTTATCAGCTTAATTATTAATGCTCAACAAGCCTTCTTTGTGAAGGCGTTTAAGATACGAACGAAAAAAAAAAGAAAGAAAAGAAAAAGTAATGTTTAATGGCCCTAGCAATGGACCTCTCACAAGCCTTTATGTAATAGGAGTGGTTAATGAAGAAGATGATGAAAGATGATGGAAGACTCAGCTTTGTGCTAGCTCCATTATTCACAAGGACCACAAATTATTTATGAAGGTTTTTTTGCTTTTTTGGTCAGATCAATGTGAAGGATGAAGTTGAATTGTATACCAAAACTGCACTTATTGTACCCAACAATTTAAATTACATTTTGATGTGAATTTGATATTAACATAGTTTCGTTTTACAAGGATTTGAATCAACTAACGTAAACCATTTGATGGTTCGTCTATATAAAAATAAACAGAATATCGGATCTTGGTTTCTCTCGTTTATTTGTTCTTAATGTAAATTGGTTGAAAAAACATTGTGGTTGAGAGCCAAGTGCATGACATACATATTGACTAAAAAAGAAAAAAAAATGATAAAATAAAAAGGAAAGAAACTAAAAAATTTGAAAGGAAGAGTGGGGGAGGCTTTATTGATCTTGGCATTATCTAGTGTGGGACTTTAGTGCAAGTAGATAATTCAAAATCATCATAATAATTTCTGGAAAAAAAATTGATTTATATGTTTGGACTATATAGATGCATTCTTTCCTACTTTCGTTGAAATAAGACTAGGAAATGGCCCCCCTACCCTCCTGTATCAAAGTCTCTTCAATGGCCATTGAAATGTGATCAGTGAAAAGGCCATAATATCTCTGTAGTTGGCGGGTGTAATTTCTTTTACTTCGGACTGCAGCAATCTCATCTCAATCTAAATTTCCAACCATTAAATGTCGAATATTTTTCAGTTGTGAAGACGTTGTCAACGCTCCCACCAAATCCAAATATATGTGAATCTCGACGCGCAATTATATTTGAGAAGGAAGAAAACAGTAACAGAACTGTTAGGTGTTGAGTCCAGAATGAAAAATTGTGTTCCACATGTACCCAAAAGGAAAAACAAAAAGCAGAAAGGAAAAATCTCAAATGAGACAAGCATGTAACCAATAACTTTTCCCACGTAATCCCTCGGCGATTCAGAGCCAATCCCAAAACGTTTCGATAAGATGAAGAAATCTCATTGAAATATAGTAACCATTTATTCTGATATTAAAAAATAAACAAAACAAAGAACAGCTCATGTGATGTGAGTGAGTTCTTTAAAATTTCATATATAAACTCTCTGGACAGGATTCTCCAGCCAGCCGGCCACCCTCTCTAAAACACCAACCTACTTATACATATCATAAAGTTTCAAAATTCTACAAAATATCATAAAAATTCTCTATATTAATTTTTAATAACACGGAATCAACCCTCTCAGTTTTTACACGCACATCATTTTTTTTTTCACTTTTTTTTTTATCTACAAATTACATTATGCGTATTCCGTATTCGTATCCTGTATACTGAAAATTAATCACATGACGGAACAAGCATTGGGGTTCTCATCGCTGAACATCTGCGGAGGAGGGGCGCCAGGGTGCATGTAATACGGTAGAGGTGGCTGCATAGGATAACCATGGTTCACGTACCCTTGCTCCACGTAATGATTGTTACTTGCAAACGATGGGTGAACCTCCATAGCGTAACTTGTTTGACCGGGAAAATGTCCTCCTTCGTACCAGAACGAAGGAGGTGGTATTGGGTACATGTATTCCATTTTGTTAACCTCCGCCTTCGCCTCCGCCGCACCGTCTTTCTCTTTCTTCTCGCCGCCGCCGCCTTCTTTCTCTTTCTTCTCTCCGCCGCCGTCTTTCTCTTTCTTCTCCTCTTCCTTCTTCGGAGGCACCACTTCCACGTTTCGCTTCAGCTTCTCGTTCAGGTACGGCACCATCTCTTTCACGTCCATCGTTCCCTTCACCGTCACCAAGTCCTTGCTCCCGTCAAGGGTCACCGACGTAACACCTGCACACCACCACCGTCAATATTCTTTTGCCACTTTACCGTCACTCCAATTATAAATCAATTGCTTAAATTATAATAATCAATTAAAAATGAGTTAGGTCAACTTTCTCTCACCTTTGAACTTCTGAATGATTCTTCGGATTTTCGCAATGCAACCGTCACAGTGCAGTTTGATTTTCAAAACCACCGTGCTCTGTAGCGAAGCAAAAATTAATCAACAGAAAGTCAGTTAGTGAAACTGAGCTTAACGAATTCAATTTTTAATTAACCAGAGGAAAATTAAGATTAATTTCTAATCACTAATTATTTACCTCCTTAGGCTTTTCTTCTGGTTTTTTCTCCTCGGGTTTCTTTTCTTCGGCCTTCTTTTCCGGCGGTTTTTCGGCAGCGGCCTCTTTCTTCGGCGGAGGAGTGACGAACTCAACCTTCTTCTTGGTTCTCTCGGCGAGCTTTTCTCGCAGCTTCTCGGCGTCCATTTTACCGGTAACGGTCACCTTGTTAGTCGATAGATCTGCCTTCACAGTTTCAACACCTGCATATTTTTTCGCCATTTTCTCAATTTCGAATCTCGATTTTATACATAAACTATATACAATTACTGGAAACTGCTGAACAAAGAATTTGAATAACGAATATCTAGAGCGAAAATTGATTATTATGATTTACACTACCTTCAAAGTGGCGAGCGGTGCGTTTGATCTTCTTGACGCATCCCTCGCAATGCAAGTCGAGTTTGTAAACGACAGGGGCGGGTCCATCGTCTTTCTTGGGAGCTCCCTCGTCGGGCTTCTTCTCGGGTTCATTCTTGGGTTGCTCCTTTTGCTGACATAAACGACACGAATTTAATTAGAAACGCGTGAATGAAATTTGAGGAATCTAGCAATGAAGAGAAGGAATAATTGAATATAAACAGAACTGAAACTAACCTCTCCCATTTTGTGTTGCCTAACTGGGTATGAGAAAATAATAATGTTAGTGTTGTGTTGGGGTAGCTAAGATAAGATTTTGGTGGTTTATTTGAAGAGTGGAAAGAGAGGCAAGGAAGAGGGTTATATATAATAAAGGAGGGAGAGTGTAAGTCACTAACGGTGGGTGAGGTAATGCCTAATGGGTTTGTTTGTTCCGTCAGACTAACATCATGCCTTATGTATGCATAATAATAACATGGATCATGATGTGGTATGAGTCCATGGTATTTGGAGGCATGGAAAGAGGTTCAAAAAATATATATTTTATTTTTTTTGTCTTCAATAGTACAATAATAATAATAATAATTTATTTGTATACACATAGGTGAGAATTTATATTTCATATAATTTAATAAATAAAGATATAGTATAACATAATGGATTTAAAATTTATCTGTAAGAAAATGTGTGAAAAAGTTTACAATGTTGCCGCCTAATAGGACTCGTTGTTATTGAGAAAAAGACTGCATCGTGACTCTTGACTCATCAAATTTTGACTGGACTCTCACTAACCAAAGGTGACGACGCATTTAATTCAGAATACCAGAAGTAAGTTGCGTAAACTCTACCTCATTATAGTTTTATACAACACCTTCGAAATTGTGGAGGAGTCATATATTTTATAGCTATCAATTCTAGTTTTTTACCCAATAGTTCAGTGAAAACTCTCGTAATAAAAGAAGAAAAATATATTTTATTTCGTTTCGATTCAATTGCACTCTGTATTATAATTTTTTTTTCTATTTATACAATAAATTTCTCTTTGAATTTTCCCTTAAAATTTAATTTCTATTAGAAAATAAAATCTCACTTTAAAATGATTTATCATCTTAACATTGGATGTTCATTAAGTCTTCGCCTTCTATTTATATTTAATTATTGACAAGAGTTATCACTCCGAGTACAATGATTTAGGAAGCTAAAAAACATAAAATTGAATTAAAAACTACTCCCAAAATAGACCGCGTTTAAGGTTAGATTACACGTACTAAAGATAAATATGAATTTCAATTATTTTTAATCAACTTATTAATTTTTTCCATTAATATTTTTATCATTTTAATATTTTTCCTTCAACTAAAATACTCTTAATTAAGTAACTTATCATCTCTTCTGTCAAAAAATATGATATGGATAGAAAAGGGAAGAGTATGAAACTATGAACAGACGTATGAATTTATTATACCAATATTAAGTATAGAAAGTAACAAAAATTACAAAAAAAAAAAAATTGTACCATAATTGATTTTTTTAGCCAAAAAATATAAGCAATTCATCTAATAAACTCCCGCCAAATCTTTAGTATCCAATTTTTGGGTTGATTTTGCTCTTCAAATACATAATGTCTTTGGCTATTCATCTTCAATGTAAAAATGAGAGAAATCGTGGTTGCACTCTAAATTTGTCGAACCATCTTTTGTTTTTACCACCCATTAAGCTTTGAAAAACTTTTGCTTCTTTTAGTTTTTTGCTCTTTTCAAAGGATCTTCCACCCGTTACAAAACATATTTCACCTTTTTAGATCTTAATATATTTACCGTGTGTAGTTTATAGTTTCTTTAGAGATAAGTAGGTAATTATAACCTTATATTAAGGTTGAAATTGACACTTGTAGATATTTAGGTAAGGTACTATAATGTACATTATATATTTTGCAGTTTAAGAAGTTATTATTCCTTATATATTCATAATGGTGTGGATAATAATAACCTTAGTGTGGGTATCTCAACACCCTTATATACAGCAATATCTTAGTTTTATTAAGCAGTAGGATTGTTTTGTTTTCTATCAAAGACGAAATTGTTGTACGAGTGACAAGAAAGAAAAAAAAAATTGCTAGTGATTTAACATTGATTATCATTTGGTATAACATTTCTGAAACGATGAAATTGTCGATATATATAGTTTTTTTAATATGCTATTTTAATACCAAGATGCAATTTTATGTCAAAACTTTATATTAAGAGTTTTGGTTTTGCTAAACAAATGTCAATACTAATAAAGGGATTTCAATGTTTGGCAAATTTTCTTTCTAGGTAAATGCAATTTTTGTAGAAGGGTTAGTGAGGCTCTTTTACTAATAAATTTGAAGAATTATAAATCTCGTTGTAGCACAACCATGTAGAGAGCCTCAGAACTAGTTGCAGCGCAACCATTAAAAATAATATGCTAGTCAAGAGGAGAGTAGAGTTGCTAATTTTAACAAGAAAAAATTAGTCATTAAAATTTTTTTAAGTTATGATGTTATATATATATATATATATATATATATATATATATATATATATATTAAATACATTTAGAGAACGTATTTTAATGACAATTATAAAAAAAAAGTGGATGACACATTTGAAATTATTTTTAATTTTTAATAATGATTAATTTATAATTGTTGTTGTATATCGCATACGACGACGATTCTAATTATAACCATGGTTGTAGGTGACATACGATTACAATTATAAAAATATTATCGTTGTATGTCTAACTTTTTAACAACGGTTCTATTATAATAATCGTTACATGTCTCGTTATATTTCTCTTTGGCCACCCAATCTCTCATTTCTTTTTCTCTTTTTTCTTCTTCAACTCTCCTCCTAAATGAGTTGTTTGCAGTATCTACCTAAAATCATGTGGTAAGTTCACATCTTCTCCCTCTCTCCTTCAACTCTGTTCATTTAAATGTCTCTTTCTCTTTCTTTCGTGAAACATCATTTTTCATCACAAGTTTTTTCAACGTGTATGACAAGTATGAGATGGAAAACAAGTGCGAGGAGGAAGTTGCATACAAGATGGAAGACGAGTACAAGATGAAATATGAGTATGAAATGGAGGACAAGTAAAGAAAACCTTTTGGATAAGTTGAGGAGGAGCAAGATCGATTGCGGTGATGTACTACGTGTAAAAGAGCAATGGAAAAATTCTGGATCTATTGTGATGGAACAAATTCTACTGTAGTGGAACAAGATCTATGATAAAAGACATATGACAACGGTTTTTTGAAGGAAATATTCTTCCTCCTTACACCAAGTATGATGCTGAAAATCCTACACCATGATCACCCAAGAATCAACCAAAATTCTTCCTCAAGTTTCAAGAGAAACTTGGCACTAACTCCTCTAAGGAAGGTTCATTGTTAGGAGAATAGGGAAAAAAAAATCTCCAAAGACACTTGAAGATAAGTCAATTCGGGATACAAGCAAAATATGCAAGTTCTACACACTAATTTTGACTTCATTTAAATGTGCTAAAAAAGTTACACAACGGGTCATATATATAGTTGTTCTCCTCTCATTCATTTACTCACCTAGGGAATATGAGACTAAATTCGCTTCTAAAGGCTATGCACCAAATTTCCTAACTTCAAGTCTCACCTAGCCCATTTTTAATTACATTTATAAGTTTATATACCAAAAAACTTTCAATTGTTGCAACCAAGAATTGAAGCTTAGACCTCCTTGAGTGTTTGGAGTGTTTTGGCTGAATTTGAGAAGGAAAAATTATATATTCCCTTTTTGTGGTAGTCAAGACTTGAACCTTGTTCTCTCTTTTTTTTTTTTTTAGTACAACACCTTCAAATCCCATCTCTTTTAAATTTGACTTGGTTCAAGTGTTTATATATGTAAAACCTCACTAAAGTTGCAACCAAGAATAAAACTTGGACTTCTAGCTTGTATGTGGCCAAATTTAAGCTAGGAAAAAGGTTTGACAAAGACTATGCTTTGAGTCAAGATACAACTTTCCTTTTGGTTCAACCCAATGTTGTTCCCGACGTTCTCTCCATGTAGTTGTGATCTTGTGTGTTGGATCATGTCTTGCAAAAGAGTAGGCATGGCAACAGATCTCCGCCGTTCTGCTTGGATTTCGAGTTCTCTGTCCCCGATCTATATTATTTTTAAAAAGATAATTACATTTATAATAAATTAATTTTATTATCTATTTTTTATATATAAATAAATTTTTATAATTTATAATTATTATTAATTAAATATACTTTTTAATTTATTATATTTATATTAAAATATGTATGTAAAAGAAATATTTAATCATTTTTTATTTATAATATTATTATTATTATAACACTGTATTCAAATATTTGAATACTTATAACATTATTATTATAATACTGAATTCAAACATTTGATTCTATATATAAGTTAATTTATTTTTTAGTTGTCATTTAAAAATATGAAATATATAGTTTATAAGAAAATATTTAATAAGTTAATTCTTATTCAATTAGTTCGAAGTAATAAAAGTTTAAATTATCAATTCCTTTAATATTTTAAAATATAATTATTTTATTAAGATAAAATTTGAGATATGATAAATAAGAATAATAAGATAAAAAATATGACATAATAAAACCTAATAAATATAAATTATAAATAAAATAATATTAGTTACTACTAAGATTTATGTAAAATATTTAGAAAAAGATAAAGAATAAAAAAATTAACTTTGTGTTCATCAAATTGGTTGAAAATATTGAAAAAAAAAACAAATTGATGGGAGAGGTTAAAGAAATGTGAAAAATTGAAAGGTAATGGAAAGAATAATGTAATTCATTAATTGATATAAACTATTAAAAAAGGCAAAAAAATTAAAAAGTTGGTAAAAGAAAAATAAAAATTAGTGAAATGTAAAAAAAATGACATTATATGTAATAGATAAAGAAAAGGAAATATTTTTAAAATATTAACATTTTAAAATTTAAATTTAAATATAAAATCGGAGTCGGGATGAGATTGGGGTCGGGGTGTGATTGCATTACTCATCCCCACCCCCGTCCTCGACTTTTTAAAGTGGGGAAAACTCGAACCTGCTCCTGCCCCCGGTCAACTTAGATTTTTCCTGTCAAACTCGGGACTGGAACGAGTCAGTCCCCACGGGTACATGTTTAATTGTCATCCCTACAAAAGAGACAAGAAAACCTTTTTACAATTTTATACAAATAAAAAGTTAGA